CCCCAAAACCCCAAAACCCCAAAACCCCAAAACCCCGAGCTGTTTAAATTCAATAAATTTTAAATAAGCATTTAAGAATTAAAGTAAATCAATGAGGAGTAAATAGTTATATATGCAATCATGACTGGCACTATTGTACTCATTTTTGCTCTCAAAGAAATTCTAGCCTATCTCTCTTATCTGCTGCTCTATTTCTGTACTTTTAAAGTTTACTTTAGAGTTAAGAGCTACTCCTCCATGCATAATATGATCCAAAAGTTAAAAATAGACACAAAGATGTGTAGAATATGATAATTTCGCAAATGAGCCAAACGTATAAAACAGGAGTCCTTGCTTTGCATTCATTAGCATAGCTGTAGACGATGTATTAAACATAAGTAAAAACTGCTATGGCGAAAGCAAGCATCAGTATAGTATAGCTCAATTAAATCTTTCTGCCTATTTAACTTAGCTCCTTTAGTCCTTATTCTCTGTCTTTGTTAACATATATAATGTCCTGCTGTCTAAATTTGCTAACTTAATAGGCTTGATCCTACTAGCCGAACAATCCAACTCCATCATTAGAGATCTTATAGCCTTCATGTGCATATCCAATGCAATCAAGCATGTGAAATATAGAAAGAAGAATATAGCATGTTCTGTAGTCAGTACAATCATTCGTTGAATTCATGTAGAGTAATGAACACACCAGAAAAAGCTCAAAACTGAAAAATGCCAGCGAGTACTTTGCTGTCTAAAATAAAGACTCTGGCTATCTATTGAGAAATATCTTCAAGGGATTTTGTTCTAGCATTGTAAAATTAAGTTAGAGTTGATGTTTTCGATGAATTTAACTTATTGAATCCCTGTTATTAAATTATAGCTTAATTAATAAAATAAGAAGAATAATTATTTACAATTTAAAGCCATAAATTAAAAATGAAAAAAACTCTTATGAGTCTTATGTGAGTTAATGGGTTTATAAGATTTATCAGAATTCTATTAAACATTATATTATTGAAGTTGTGGACAAAAAAATATATAGGAATTTGTTGTTTTATTAAGTTTAAATACAAGGCATTTTATCCAACCAGGATTTGAGCCTTTTCTCAAAAAAATGCAGTAAATTCATTACCACGTTTATTTTTCTAAGGAAGCTGTAATTCTCTAATTCAAGCCTTCAAAAATTCAATTATATCTCTACGATCTCTAGCGTTCTTAACTGCAGCTGCTCCCATTGCGGTCTCTGGTGCAAATGTTTTAGGATGTGTTAAGAATGCATCTAGGTTTTTAAATGTCCATTTCTCTGTTGCTTTTGCTAAGAGTCCCGATGTGTAAATCATGTTACCAGAGGCAATATTTTTGCCATATATTCCTCTTAAACTCATTGAATGGCAGCCCATACAAAGTGTTTTGAATAGTCTTTGACCTCTGTCTGCATCTCCCTAAATCTCCTTGGACTATTTCTCCTTTTTAGGTGGCATTGATGTTGCTTGTTTCACTGAATGAATGGAATTAATAATTATATTTGCATTTAATTTTTACCCATAAATACTATTCACTTCTGCACCTCACTATTAGTCTATAGGGGTTTTGGGGTTTTGGGGTTTTGGGG